AATCATGTGATCAAATTCTATTATTTTATTCCTTAATCTCTTGGACAACATGGGCCACAAAATTTTTGGACTTTTCTGACCCAAATTCACGCCTAATGGGCTGAAAAAAGAAGGAAGAAATATAACATTTCAAATCCCAACATTTCTCAATCGGGTTTTGCTGTATTGACTAAAATTCCTGTCTAATTTTCAATAATAGTTTTGAACTTCCAAAAATTTATTTCTGTCTATCAAACATCTTTTAATATAGGAAGGTCTTGTGAATTTTTCTGGAATTATCTCACTCTCTAACCACCTATATCAAATTTTCTTTGAAATTGGGTTTTACCGATAAGATTTTGATAATAATTATTCTAAAATTAATTCTTTCATTTTCAGAGGCTAGAAATAATTTTAGAATCTCAAATAAAATCTTCAAATAATTTTCTTATTTTTTCAGAATTATTGAGGCCTTTATATATTTAAAATAATTATTTGTGGCCAATTTTCTATTGTTTAACTAGAAAACCCTGATTTATAAAAAATTCTATAATAAATTATTTTTATACTAATTTCACCTCTAGGCCTCAAATTTGGTTCTGAACTCTCTATTTTATTTTTCTATATTTTTTGGGAATTTTTTGGAATTTTTATCCAACTTTTCCATTTTGTCCTTCCTAAATTGATAATTTCAAAAATATTAGTCCAGTCAGGAGTTGAATCTCACTTCAAAGGTTATTCCTACTCTGAATCTACTTTACTACTAGGCTTTCTGTCTAATTTATTACTCACTCTCCTAGGGTTAAAATTAGTGAGATCTAACATCAGTAGTGGTCACTGGCATCGGAGCTCCAGCGACTGCCAGGTTGGTGAGCATATTTGGTTTTTCTTAATAAAAAATAAAGGGAATATGGTCATTTCAATAAATTTTAAAATCTCAATTTAGTCACTTATACTTGAATTGGGATTCTGCTTATTCAAGTGACCATTTTAGAATTTTCAAATTTAAGTGTCATTTTTACTAATTAAATTCATTAAGGACTGTACAAATGTTTTGGTTTCAAATTTACCATACCGCATAATGCTCTATGTAAGCAAGATCTCATGTCCTACAATTAATGAATATGTATAATATAGAGGAAATATGGGGGACCTTGACGAGCAGAAAAAAGCAGGGCGTGGAAAAGTGAAAGGAAGGGATGAAGAAGAAGAAAGAAGAGGAGCGTGAAAGTTAAAAGAGCCAGAAGTGTGAATTTTGAAGGTGAAGAGAAGGGCATGGAGGAGGAGAAGAACAGGACTATCCATGTCGTGCGATAGCCGCACAAGGAAGGATTAAGGAAAATTTTCTTTAAAACATAAAAAGTCCGACCAAATGCATAATTTTAAATCCCAAATTTCATCCTCAGTTATAAAAATACTCTTGTACTCCCTCTACTCCTACGTATAAATTACTTCTAATCCATCCATGCGTATTAATAAAAATAATTAAAAAAAATAATTAAAGGTACTACTTCCAATCTTTAATATAAGAGTTAGTTGAGGGTTATATTTGATCCTAAATATAAAACCTCAATTCACTTTATCTCTAATCTTTTCCTAAAATAACCCTATTGATTGTAAGGGGTTCCCTTCATAGGATAATTCTAATCATTCAATATACATTATTGAAGAAGATAGTTTAAAAAGACTAATATATATTTATGACAAATAATTAACTTAATTAATTTCCAAAACATCTCCAAATTATATTTAGCACTTATATGAAAAATGGTGGATAGTATCAAACTTTTCATAAAGTAGCATATCATAATAAGGCATGAAATGGGAACAAGTCTCTAAGTTGTTTAGTCAAAGAGATTGATTTGTGACTAACAATTTGACTACATGCTTGTGAATATTGGAATTTAATTTTTGGCAGGCCATGTCAATGATGTCGTATTATATTTTGCGGTTTATGATTTTAATACACATGACATATGTAAAAAGTGTTTTGTGAGAAAAAAAATAAAGAAGTGATTTCAATAATACATCTTAATTTTAAATAAGTTAATTAAATAATGATGACCTTAATATTACTAAGCATGTACAATAATATAATTTATACAAAATTGATACAAATGATTCTTTCATGTTTCAACAATACAATCAAATTGGCCTTAACAGAAAGATTAAGATAACCAAAGTCAGCTTCCCATATTTGATAATATTTAAGAAAGAGATATAATGACTGCAACAACACACGACAAACATTAAGAAATTAAGAAAGAAAGAGAAGGGGACAAGCACCATTTTTGATAATATTTAAATATAACCCATTCATATAACCAAATTTGATATAATGACTGCAACAACACACCACAAACATTAATGTGCTTCTTGGCTTTCTTATGACAAGGATTGAAATTTGTGGAGAAAAGGAATTATACCAACTAGCTCACTTAAAATTGATGGATCATAGATGTGAATCTGATTATACAATAGGGATCATACTAGTATAATAGTTGTCCAGTTCTATTTTTAAGTCACTTTCAAAACATATTTCACACATATCAAGTAAAATATTAAACTTCGTTAACTTTGTTTTAAAATTTAATAACTTTCTAACTTTATTCCTTTTTAATATATATTATAGTCTATAAGAATAAAATCAACACAATAATAAATAAAAAGTAAAATTATACATTCATATAAAAAAATTTCTTTATGCCCTGTAAATATGACCAAAAAATTCATTTTCCCTCAAAAGAGTATGTTATATAAGGATGTAAAGTTAAATCTTGCTATCAATGCGAGGGTCTTCTAGTATACTTCTATTCTATGATTGTTTTAGAGCAAACTAAAACCCCTAAGTATTGGAAATTTAGCCAATATTAGGGTTCTTTTTAAGAAGTCAATGTGCATGATTGAAATTAAGCAAAACAATTAGAACTCATACTTCCTTTAGGTTCTCATTATAAGCTTCAATATAAGTTTTTTTGAATAATCTAGTCTTTTCTATAAGATATTGACAATGTCTCAAACTTTAGCCCTTTTTCTTTTCGTTTTTCTCCTAATTAATTTTGTGTCTCTCTTATCTTTTTCTTTTACTCATTCTCTCTCCCACAATGCACTCTTTGTGAAAAAATAAAGCATATTATATTACTCGAATTGATAGTAAGATTATTCAATTTCACATTCATGCTTAAAAATGTGATGATGTGACTTACAAATAGAATAAAAAAATATTCTTTTTCTACTTTATAAATAGGATCAAAGGATACTCCTCTAATTGTATTTGTAGGGTATTTCTAACATTTTTTATACAAACTAAGAAAAACCTTAAATTACATTAACTCTCTTTTAAAATATAACAACTTTTTAATTTTACCTCAATCTAATATATAAACCTTCCAAAAGAACTATCTACCTTATAATAAATAAAGAACAAAATAGTACATTCATGTTAAAATTTTAATAAAATGAATTATAAATAAAATTTTTAAAAAAATATTCTCTCTTTTCTTTATCAATAGGACCAAAGAAGTAGTATACATCAAGAAGTTCGGCAACATCATTTGTGAAAGATATTAAATCAACGTACAATAAACGTTAAGCTTGAAAATTGAAGCACAAAAGAATGAATAAAGTCCACCAACTAACTTGTTTATGCCGACAATATATATTAGATATATATACATCTCACATTCAAGATAAACGACAAAAAAGGTCTTGAGTTTGATCATCAAAGAAGATCTTGATCATCTTGTTGCTTCAGAATTTATCACCTAATCCCATTCACACACACCCAAATGATAGGTCCTAAAGTTTCAGTTCAAGTGTTGCTTTCTATTTTCAGACCCAAAAATTGATGGTTCCCCCATAGTTTTTAGTCCCAACAAAACATTAATATTTAATGTTCTTACGACTGAGCCATCTTACCCTTAACTCTATTTGACAACCAACCCAACAACTATAGCTAGCTAAGTCCTAAACCATGTTAACAGACTTTAATGCGTATCTTTGCTTTATTGTTGTCTCAAATGTGTGATTATTAGCATTATGAACTGTCATTATGTCTATTTTTCAGTTATTTTTGCTTCTTAATTCTATCACAGTCTTCATGCTTTAATCCAACAAGACTCAGATTAGATTGTAAACAGCACACTGATTTGGACACCTATCTATCTGTGGGTCCTCCCTCGAGATTTCTTTTAGGTAAGAAGACAACAAAAACTTAGTTTTGAACAAAATGAATTCCATTTGTTTTAATTCAGAATAGTTTATATATAATATGAACATTAGATGGTTCTCATGATAAAAAAAAAAAAAAACTTAGTTCTGAACAAATTTTTATTTAACCTACTAATTATTTAATTTGGTTTACTGAATGTTCAGAATAGGTGATCTAACATCATATGTTAGATCTTAACCCAAAAAAAAAAAAAAATCCTAATTGTGGTGCACTAGTTGTGCAGTTAAATCATAGTTAAAATTGTACTCTCTGGGCAACTTTACTTATGTTGGATCGAGTCTCTTTTACTTGACCTAACATATGATTTTTTTTTTTTTTTAACATCAACATATACATAATTGGTCAGATTATAAAAATTTGATCGAGTAATTGAAGATATATCCTAAGATGGTTTTAATAAATTTGATGTGATGGAAATAGGAGAGGGGAGGAAGCTTGCGTGGTTTGATTTCACATGGCTTGCCGCACCTAATAATAATAGATAGCAAACACAGAAGATTGTCTATTTCTTTAACTGCAGATGGGTCAAAGTCTGAATCATCAACACCATTTTTCCCTGTGAAAACCTTCACAACACACTCACATCCTCCCCCCCCCCCCCAAAAGCCATCATAACTACGATCCAAAACTCATTAACTTAACAATTTCATAATTAATCTTGTTTGGCAAACCTTCATAATCACTTTCAAGAAAACACTCCTTTATATTTTACAAGACAAAACTCCTTGACATACTGAAGTACTTAGATTTTAATGTATATATCATTTTCCAAATTCAAGTGTCTGTGAGTTTCCAGAACACAACCTCAGATATTTGCCTGAATGCATTTAAAGTATCTGAAACATTACATAAAATGTTGGAAATGTGTCTCTGTATGACTTCAAAATTACAATTCAGCATTGCATATACTGTGATGTCAGTACAGTGTGCCTGTTCACAGTCTGAGGGACAAGTCAAGTTTGTGAAGTTCCTCTGTGACAGGCCTTGGAGAAAACTTTGGAGTCCCAGAAGTTAAAGAAGCTGATGATGATTCAGTTCCTGCCCAAACATAGGAAGCCCCGAATAATGGATGATTCTTCTGGAAACGACGTGGTTGAAGAGAGGAAGTAGAGAAGGGCTTGTGAATCATGGAATGAACTTGAATCCCGAGTGGTCTGTTATGGGAGGAGCCATGCAAAGGAAGAGAAGCCATACATGAATAATAATACCTTTGTCCAAAATCTGCAGAAACATGTGAAGCAGAACCACCAACGTCGTTGTTGTGTCCTCTTTTGGCCAGAGTTCTCTCACGCTTGTGTGCGTTTTGGTGTCCCCCAAGTGCCTGCGAGCTGTAGAATTTTCTGTGACAGTAGTTGCAGGAGAAGATCCTGCCATGGGGGGATTCAGATGAGGAGTAATTAGAGAGACTTAGATCTAGACGAGGAGGAGGGGAAGAAGAAGATGAACTACGTTGTTGGCATTGTTGATCCTCTGTTTCTGTCTGTTTCTGGGTCTTGTCTGCTTGGCTGTCCATTGAACAAGTCTCTGCAAAATGATCAGCTCTGACGATGTTTTCAAATAATGTTCATATGATGTAGGATTTGTTGATGATGACGATGGAGTTTGGTTGAACAGCAAGAAAGATGAAGAAGTATTATGAGATGGATGCAGTGATAGAAAATGCTCTGTACCGTGAAGTAGAATCACTATTTTTCATTTTCAAGGCCTTTTTATAGCAAACACCTAGTAAGAACGTCATTGTCAGTATCTAATGTCTTAGATCAAGTTTTGCTCATCATTAAGGCTCCGTTTAATATTGGTTCCTCCAAGTTTTTCCTTTTCATTTTTAAGGCGGAAAAAAAAAACAGAGAGATGAGTTAACCAATTTGGAGGGATAAAAGGAAGTTACTAAGTTACTTTAACCTATTTATATTTATCGTTTTTCTCCCAACTAATTTGTCTTATTTATAAATTGATATATAATCTAATGATCCATATAAGTATTTTAAAGATATCATATAACATGTTATAGTTAGATAATTTAGTAATTTTCTTAATCTTTTCAAATTAGTTAGATGGGTCTTACATTAAAGATCGAAAATAATATTTGTTATGAGAGGTTTTTTCATAAGCAGAGTTTCTTATGTATTAATATAATGTTGGATATTAGACGTAGATATCTTTTTTAACAAGGTTTGAATCTTAGTTTATTACACTGTGAGAGGGATTGACTCCTTTCACAGCTTAATCCATTATGACAAGTTTTCTAATCATACTTGCATAGTCATGTGTCCTAATTTTTTTATATGGATTTATAATAAAATGTTATTAAGTACTAATATTTCAAATATAGTATATATGATTATGTGTGATTGGAGAAGTTTAACATGATAAATATAAAAAAATTCACGAAGTATTTTCTTTCAAATTATTTTTTGAGGAATCAATTTTACTCACACATGCTATTCATAAATCAGATTGTCATTCTAATTTTCTTTAGTAGACCGAAATAGTTTTCTAATTTTGAAAATTGTAAAATAAAACACGTACGTATACACATATATACATGTAAATACAAAAGATATATATATATATATATTTTAAAAAGGCTAGCAAGCACACAACTGTACGTGTCTGTGCATGTAAATCACCTACGTAATAATATCACATGACGTCAAATGCGTGTCACAAGACATCGAACACGTATATGCTTATTATTGAGCACTCACAAATAATCCAACACAATTTGCATATGGATATATATTTGGAAAAATTACAAATAAAGACCCCAAATATATAAAATTATTATTTGAAACCCTTAATTTGAAAAATAGTAAATAAAGACTCGGTTATACTTTTGCAAATATGAAATCGTAGTAAAATGTATGAAATGCCCCTCAGCCAAAAAACAAATTGACTATGAAAAATGACAAGTTTACTTTAACGAATAACAATTTCAATAGACCAAATCACAATTTGACTAAAGGTATGCTAAATGATAAGTTGACTATTGGAAATAAGAAATTCACTTTAACAAATGACAACTTTAGTAGACCAAATCACAATTTGATTGATGAGCATTTCAAACATTTTACCCACATTTCATATTTACAAAAATGGGGCCTGATCCTTATTTGTTATTTTTCAAATTTAGAACCCCAAATCGCAATTTTAAATATTGAGAGTCTTTATTTATAATTTTTCCTGTATATTTTAAAATAGATTTTCTCCACCTTTATCGGAAAAATTACAATATTTTTCTAATGAATGATTTATTTATCTTCTTGTTTTCGTGTCCTTGTTTTTCTACAAAAATTGATTTTGATTTGTCTCTTTGCATATGAAAGGAAGAGCTTCTGTCTAATAGACACCAGAGAATACTACTACTTCTAATCCTAACTACAATATTTAATTGGGGAAATTTCACTGTAGGACCGCATAAGACAAATAATTTCAAAGAGCCTCCAAAACTTTTTGAAACCTCACTGCAGGACCAAGGGACCAATCTGATATTAATTTTTAGAGTGAGATTACAATAATACCCCTCCCTTTTTATTTTATTAAAAAATAAATATTTACCAGAGTTACTGTTCCGGCCACCGGCGCTCAAGTGGCCGCCGTCGGGGTCCGGTCACCGGTGGCCGGAACAGTAACTCCGACGGGACCTCCGGTGGCCGGAGTTTTTTTGTTTAAAACAAAGTGGCCAAGGGAGGGTTTGAACCCAGGACCCCTTGGCACACCAAAAGACTTGTAACCACCAAGCCAAGCAACCCATTCAATCATAAAATGCAAATAAAACTATATATAACAAAATAAACGCAACAGTCTAAATGTAAGTGAACAAGTGAAATTAGACGATTTACAAGTGGAATTCAGAAATTTGCAACAAAAATTAGGCAATTTACAAATAACATAATAGAAGTCATAACCCCAAATGCAAGTGTTTAAGTGCAAATGAGCAAGTGAAATTTAAAGATTTACAATAAAATTTTATGGATTTACAACCCAAATTTGGCAAACACAAGAGAATTCACAACCCAAAATGTAAGTGTTTGAGTGTAAGTGAACAAGTGAAATTAGACGATTTACAAGTGTGATTCAGCAATTTACAACAAAATTAGACAATTTACAAATAACATAATAGAAGTCATAACCCCAAATGCAAGTGTTTAAGTGCAAATAAGCAAGTGAAATTTAAAGATTTACAATAAAATTTTATGGATTTACAACCCAAATTTGACAAACACAAGAGAATTCACAACCCAAAATGTAAGTGTTTGAGTGTAAGTGAACAAGTGAAATTAGACGATTTACAAGTGGAATTCAGCAATTTACAACAAAAATTAGGCAATTTACAAATAACATAATAGAAGTCATAACCCCAAATGCAAGTGTTTAAGTGCAAATGAGCAAGTGAAATTTAAAGATTTACAATAAAATTTTATGGATTTACAACCCAAATTTGGCTAACACAAGAGAATTCACAACCCAAAATGTAAGTGTTTGAGTGTAAGTGAACAAGTGAAATTAGACGATTTACAAGTGGAATTCAGTAATTTACAACAAAAATTAGGCAATTTACAAATAACATAATAGAAGTCATAACCCCAAATGCAAGTGTTTAAGTGCAAATGAGCAAGTGAAATTTAAAGATTTACAATAAAATTTTATGGATTTACAACCCAAATTTGGCTAACACAAGAGAATTCACAACCCAAAATATAAGTGTTTGAGTGTAAGTGAACAAGTGAAATTAGACTATTTACAAGTGGAATTCAGCAATTTACAACAAAAATTAGGCAATTTACAAATAACATAATAGAAGTCATAACCCCAAATGCAAGTGTTAAGTGCAAATGAGCAAGTGAAATTTAAAGATTTACAATAAAATTTTATGGATTTACAACCCAAATTTGGCAAACACAAGAGAATTCACAACCCAAAATGTAAGTGTTTGAGTGTAAGTGAACAAGTGAAATTAGACGATTTACAAGTGTGATTCAGCAATTTACAACAAAAATTAGACAATTTACAAATAACATAATAGAAGTCATAACCCCAAATGCAAATGTTTAAGTGCAAATAAGCAAGTGAAATTTAAAGATTTACAATAAAATTTTATGGATTTACAACCCAAATTTGGCTAACACAAGAGAATTCACAACCCAAAATGTAAGTGTTTGAGTGTAAGTGAACAAGTGAAATTAGACGATTTACAAGTGGAATTCAGCAATTTACAACAAAAATTAGGCAATTTACAAATAACATAATAGAAGTCATAACCCCAAATGCAAGTGTTTAAGTGCAAATGAGCAAGTGAAATTGTCGAATTTCACTTGCAAATCTATAAACTTTTGTTGTAAATCTTCAAATTTTATTTGCTCATTTACACTTAAACACTTGTATTTGGGATTGTGAGTTCCATTATGTTATTTGTAAATTGCCTAATTTTTGTTGTAAATTGCTGAATTCCACTTGTAAATCGTCTAATTTCACTTGTTCACTTACACTCAAACACTTACATTTTGGGTTGCGAATTCTCTTGTGTTTACCAAATTTAGATTGTAAATCCATAAACTTTTATTGTAAATTTTACTTGCTCATTTGCACTTAAATACTTGCATTTGGGGTTATGACTTCTATTATGTTATTTGTAAATTGCCTAATTTTTGTTGCAAATTTCTGAATTCCACTTGTAAATCGTCTAATTTCACTTGTTCACTTACATTTGGACTGTTGCGTTTATTTTGTTATATATAGTTTTATTTGCATTTTATGATTGAATGGGTTGCTTGGCTTGGTGGTTATAAGTCTTTTGGTGTGCCAAGGGGTCCTGAGTTCAAACCCTCCCTTGGCCACTTTGTTTTAAACAAAAAAACTCCGGCCACCGGAGGTCCTGCCGGAGTTACTGTTCCGGCCACCGGTGACCGGACCCCGACGGCGGCCACCTGAGCGCCGGTGGCTGGACCTCCGACCTCCGGTGGCCGGAACAGTAACTCTGGTAAATATTTATTTTTTAATAAAATAAAAAGGGAGGGGTATTATTGTAATCTCACTCTAAAAATTAATATCAGATTGGTCCCTTGGTCCTGCAGTGAGGTTTCAGAAAGTTTTAGAGGCTCTTTGATATTAATTGTCTTCTGCGGTCCTACAGTGAAATTTTTCCTATTTAATTTATTATGCAACTTACATTATAAATTAGATTTTATATTTAGAATCGGATGTAGTATGAGAAAACTTTTTTAAAAAAAACAGTAAAAGATTTTTTTGATCATTTTTCCCTACATCTAACCCATACAAGTTAACGCAACAACCAGTGGGGTTTTGGCTTAGTCTTAAATCTAAAACTTCAATCCACTTTGTTTATTATCATTTATAATTTTTTTTCAAGGCTATCTCTGTTGATTATATGTATTGGAGGGGTTTTCATAAATTCCAACAGTTTCAAAATGATTAAATAGAATATTTTTAAAAAACTAACACATATTTTTTTATAAATAAGTAAATTAACTAGTTTCATTAATAACATCTATAATACATTTATGATTAGAACAAGTATTTTACAAGAGCTATCTCTATATTTCTGTTTTTAAATAGTGGGAAACAAGATATTTTCTCAAAAGTGGAAGCTATGAAACTTGAAAGAAAAGAAACACTTTCATGCACATATAATGATTTAATTAACTGATGAGGAACACAACTACCATCAAATTTTCTTCAATGTAAATAATTGTAAGGTGCAAAGAGCCACCCTAACAGTAAATCCAAAACCAAAAAAGGATGAGTTGAGTTCAATAATTGAGCTATGTTTTGGTGCTTGCTTTGTTTGTCTTAAAACAACCTATGACGAACAACAATGTACCAATTTCCATAGCCCCATACTTTAATAATGTTCCCTTCTTCTCACTTTATGTTTGTCTTTCACATTTCACACTATTCTAGTTTTTCGGTCAAATGTCTTTTCCTAGTACACTCTATGCCTTTAGTTTATCACACCCTATATGGCTCCTACATACATCATATTGCCTGCTTTTCAATGAATGAATAGGCTTGTCTTATAGTACTCGCTTGGCCCCTTTTTTAAGATGATTGTTTTTAAATTTTTTTCTTTTTTAGTAGTCTTTGGTCCAAGATATTTTTGAAAATTTGTCGGCAAAAAATTAATCTATCAACTTTTGATATTTTTAATTAGATCTAGGTAGCTTTTCCTTCATTTTATTGAGTCTTTATAGTTCTTTCCTACATATCCATAATTGTTGGTTAGGACAGATATATATATATATATATATATATATGAACTAAATGAACGTGTAAATTGTCACCAAATACAAAATCATTTTTTAAAACAAAGGTTTTTTATTAAAAAATAATAATGGAATAAAATTTATTTATTATTAATATAAAAATAAAGAAAAATATTTCGGTCAATTTTCTTATATATATTATATAAAGTTTCTCAATTACACATGATCATGTGTTCTAATTCTTTTTGTGTGACGTATAATTAAATGCTATTAAATGTTAATATTTCAAAAATAATACGCATGGTCAATTGAAAAACTTAATATAATAAATATAGGGAACTTGATATAAATATTGTCTAATAATAAATTACTATGCTCATGACAATCTCATTGCATCTATATATATAATTTGTAATGTGGTTGAATTTTTATTTTATTTAGATTCATGTGAAAAAATAAATTCAAGTGCATGCTAAGGGGGAGTTATGATGATTATTGCAAATTAAAATCATTAGTATAGAAATTAATAGCTGTAATTAAGAAAATATAAGAATTCAATAAAAAGAAAAAAATTATAAGAACTTAATTAAAAATAAAGTGAAATTATCCAGGCTTACTTATTAATTTTTTTTCAATTTATGTAGCTTTAATTATTCTTATTGAATTTTATCAAGCATAATTCTAAAATATTTTAAATTAAAAATAAAGTGAAATTATCCAGACTTACTTATTAATTGTTTTCAATTTATATAGCTTAATTATTCTTATTGAATTTTCTTAAGCATAATTCTAAAAGATTTTAATAGCTTTTGGAAATTTTAAAAATATTAACTGATTTTAACTAAATGTATTTATATGTATGAAGTTGTCAATAAGTCCTCGTAATAAAGATAAAGAGGAACATTATGTTTTTTTGAAAAAGAAAAAAAGGAATATTGTGTTGCTAATTTATTAATCTTATAAAATCGGTGGATTTAATTACAATTATATATCTTCAACTTCAAAGAAACGTTTGTTATTTAATATATAAAATTATGGTTGTGTTTGAACCATCCCACTTTGTCCCCAGCTAAAATTCTTTACGTATGAATTTTAGACTTTGCAGGTTAAAGCTTAGGGAGGAAGCTAGATTGAGCATCAACTGATTTTTCCCCGGTACATGCCACAACCCAATCTCAATTATAAAATAGTTTCAACATTTTTTACTGGAATATAATCAAATAAAATTTTAAAAATTACCAATTTTATCTAAAATTTAAATAAATTTTTTACTTTGCCCATTAATCTTTTTTTTTTGTCAGAACTTTGCCCATTAAATACACCTTCAAAAAACTTTTGGCCTCTTAAGCGCAAAAGGTTTCAAGTTTAAATCCATGTAAATGCAGAATACAATTTTGGGAGAGTTATCTACAATTGGACCCAAAAATACTCGAGCCAATATGACCCGGTCAAGTAGTTGTATGGAGAAAAACATGTTTCTTACTTTTTTTGTTTTTTTCATAATAAGCTAGCCTCTCACGACTCAATGAACGATATTTAAACTTTTGTTTAAGAAAATACACATATTTAATGTTCAGCAGTTTCTCATACAAGATAGTAGTAGTATCCAATAAAAAGATACATGTGCCTCAGAGCCAAAAAAAAGCACGAGACCTTTCCTCCAAGTTCCTTATAAAGAAAATAAGTGAGAGAAATATCACAATTTATTATCTTAATCAAGCTGCTTATAGCTCACTGTAGATCACCAACTTCACTGCAATTTCATGGGGATTAAGAAGTTACTTTTAGGGTTAATACAAACTTTGATCCCTCAAGTTTATCTTCATTCTGGTTTTGGTCCCCTCAGGTTTCAAATCACAAGTTTTGTTCCCTCAAATTTTTTTTATTTAAAATATTGGTCCCTCTAATCCATTTAAAACTTGGACCATTTTGTCCTTTAAGAGACCAAAACCTATAATTTAAAACTTGAGGAACTAAAACCAAAATAAGAACAAATTTGAATGATCAAAGATTATATTAACTCTTACTTTTAATAAATATAGCCTTGCGATATAAAATACAACACTCTTGTGAACCATCCAAAGTTGGAGTTTGTGGCCTTTTCTTTTCTTTTTTTAATGATAACATAAAGCCATAAAAACAAACCAAAATACAAAACAAAGCTAAACAGTCCTACTATCCTTCATCACCATCCGCCTCAAAATTAAGAGGAGGCAGGTGATCAAGGATACAAAATTATTATCTAATGTATGAGCACATTTAGCTAACTGATCAGATAAGAAAATCATCTGCCTATCCACATGATAAAAAACAAGCTATCAGTTCCTACTTATGGCTATTCGGATGTTATCCACCAAATCCTTAAAAGGGTAATCATCATCACACCCTTTAGTAGCCAGATTAATTGCCTCCATACAGTCTGAGAAGAAGCAAATCTTCCTAAGACCTCTAGAGCAGCATAAATTCAAATCATAGAGAGCGATATTTAATTTTGTTATTTCTTTTGCTCTTTCCTCTTTCTCTCTTCAACTAACCAATCATATCTTCTGAACCATCTTAAAGGGTTGTGCTAACTAATTTTTTGAGATTAAAGAATGAGCTAAAATTAATTATATATAAAAGATGTTATAATTTTTAAAGTTATTTTTAATCAAATTAAAGCTATTATAATGAAACTAAGAGTAACAGAGACATATTATTAAAAGCAAGTCACAGATATTTTATTAAATTTTACACAAGAACCAATGCATAGAATTACATATTTATACACACACTCCTCCGGTCCTAAATATAAAACTCTTTTTGTACTACAAAAAAAGTCTTACACTACAAAAGAGGTGTTATTTTTAGGACAGGAGGAACATATATATATACACACACAAGGTAGTATATTCTTTCCACTCATTTTGTGAGTTAAAATGGACAGTTGACTCCACTGGCTACTTCTAGACACTCTATCACCTAACCCACATGGCCACATGCAGGAGCAAAAATCAAAAGAAGTGATACATTCTTAGGCATTTAATTGAGGGTAAAATTGAAAAGAAGTAAATTTTTAAGACATCAACTAAACATAATTATTTTCTTCACGTGATTAGGTAAATTGAGTTTTTATAATTAAGTAGTCATAAAAAGTGAATTACTTTTTAATGTTTTAACCATAGAGTTTTACTTGGTATAAATACTTGTAAGATATTAGATATCTTCAATTTTGTGAAATGAAAAATCAACGCGTTTCTTACTTTCTAAGCAAGATATAACTCTTGACCTAGTGGTATATATTTAATTCACCAAGAAAACATGAAGAAAGACTTGAGGGGAACCAAGAAATTTCAAAGAATACTAACAAATTTGTATATCTTTTTTAATCTTTTGGCATGAGTAACCCTTCCACCTCTACAGACCATTACACTTTCAGCTACAGGGTTGATCAACAAAACACTACTAACAAAAAAAAAAATGTGAGCAAAAAGATAATACAAACGATTAATCCCAAGCGATCAGGTGAATTTCCAACAGTTACAACATACACAAGAAACCACCAAAAGAACAACACTTTCATTTGGTCAACCAGTCAGTAGATTAAAATGAGAAATGTGCATACTGATGCAACAAGGGAAAGTATGATTGTATCCATCGACTTCTTTCGCTTTATCGCCGACAGAATGTTATTCACCTGAAACATCAGTGTGACAGGCACGTTAAACAGCCTAAAAAACACGGATATGGACACAAACTGCGACACAACAAAATCTAAAAGACTAAAGCTTTCATGTCATGCCTAAGAAGGTATTTAACAAGGATCACAACTTAGTTCTTAAGTATTTGTGCTTCATAGCAGAAAATTTCAAAATGATTAAAACACAAAAGACTACATAGCCATGGGGCATACCGTTGGAAGGCGACCGCTGACATTACTGAGCTTTGAATTGATTCCTCCAAAAGTTGAACGCTGGGTGACAAGTGCACCAAATGTTGCTTGTGCTTGTGAAATAACATTGTCTATCTGAAGCACAGGAATAAGCAGGACAATTCAAAACAAGACAATACAAGCTGAAGATACCGGAAATATCAGGGGGAGAAATGAGTGTTTACGGAGCAGCATTTTTATATGCCCCAGCAAACCATTTTAAATATCCATACTAGCACACCAAAGAAAGGGCCTTACTATTTCTTCCAGATGACTGACTTTAAAGTTACTAGCTCATTCTCCACAAAAATCTTAAAAAGTAGATTATTGTTTTCCCCTTAAACTAAAGATACATTGGCATTCAGTTTTCCATTTTGGTCACTGAAGAGGGAAGAGACCACACAGCATTGATAAAGAGTTTAATTTCACTGCCAGTATTGCATAAGACTGAATTTTCCTATTTGTCAAACCAGCAAACATACCTATAAGCAGCTCCTTCTCCTTAGTCCTCACAAGAAAAAATAGTTACTATAAATAGGTAAAAAAATTTCCTACATACAGCAAGATCACTCGTCATTCCTAACAAGTGAAATTTCAACAAAAGACTTACTATACCATGTCTTCTCATATAGTTTTCCAATATCTGACCACACAAAGAATCAGATTGCCTTTTTTTTTTTTTTCGGTGCATAGTGGGGATGAAACAAATTTTCTCTTAGTTCTCAACAAATCCCCAATCTCGCAAGAAAAATCTGTGGCTTGTGTAATTGTTTTAAATCCCTGGAACAACTTCCTAAGGACTCCCTAGGCCAATTTCCTACACAAACAGACATACAATGCTAAGGCCAAAAGGGAAGAATCACACATCATACAAGGTTAATAATTCCACTGAGAATAACTGATTAAAAAACAAGACAATGGCTCTTAACATCAGGAAAGCTAAGTAACAGTTTCATATGACAGACCTGTCCTGTACTTCTGCTGATAGAAGCATGCTCCCTTAGTAGTGCTTGCTCAGCAGAACCTCCACCCTCTTCTAAGTCCAATCTTGTCCGATCAAACTCTTTAAAATCATCAAGGAGTGAAGCATGTTCCTGCTTAGCTCTGAGACTAGATCGTAGACGATAAAACTCCTGCACTTGAAAATATCTAAAACAGGTTGGTATACAGCAGGTCCATACCTAGTTAAAAATCTTCGTATGCTTGTAAAAATGAATCAAAGGTATATAAATGAACACAAAATATCAAAATACAAAGAAGGAAAAGATGGAACAGACTTTATGTACATGATATAAGTGTAATAAATAATAGGAGTTACAAAATCAATTTCATCTATCTGATATCATCACCCCCCTTGCCCTCAGGAAAAAAAGGACAGAGGCTGTAAAAGATCGGAAACTAAGCACTGAACACTAATTGGGCTGAATAGTGATTTGATCACAAGATTAAGATTCTCGCATGAAATAACCACCGCATGCTGTACTTTTGATTGTAGGAAACAAAATCAATTCTAAATTCATTTGGCAAAACTTTGATCGTTTATTACCCTGTGGTGACAAATTTAATAACATTTACCTTTTCAATTCATTCCACTTGCAAGAATGAAACCTTTGCAGCAGGGTGCATCATACATGTGTCCCATGTTTACAAATCTACTTCACTGAAGCAATTGAAATTCCAAACACCATACAAGGATAACTGCACATAAACTAACACTGCAGCTTACCTGGGTGAGATCTTGAAGAATTTCTTGGTGCCTTGTCAAAGTATGAGAAACCATTTCTGACCCACCAGATGATACCCAAGCTTGCATCTGTGAGTTCACTTGTTGGAGTTGTTTTAGTAACCGCTCAATCCAAGACTCCATGTCACTCTCTGCATTATCAGCTTTTGAAGAAGCTTTAGCAGAAACCAATTTACGATAAGAATTCATTTGCTCATCCAACTGAGCTTCAAGTTTTCTCGCCTACAAAAGATCAAAGAGAGGCACATTTCTGTCGTCAATCATCTGTTTAAAAATGCATAACAAGATAACCGCATCAAATTACCCTTGCAAAATCAATGAAAGAACACTTTAAGATAGTTGACAACGTCAAATTCCCAAATCTTTTTGTTCTTGGCATTAATAATGTGTTATGATGATTAAAATAGGAAAATCAACCGGCTTCAAGGAAGCTTAATAGGCTATCTAAATTATTCAAGCTATGCCCGGATCATCATCAAAAGGATCAATTCCCTGAGGAAATTAGGCCTTCTTCTAATTTGTCTGCCCTAAATCTGATGGAAACCGATGGTTAACTAATCATGAACCAGAATCTAGGAGCGAAATAGCCCGACGCATTTCAAGTCTTCGTGATTTGACTCCTTATGAAATAAAACTGAACATAAACCAAAGAAAGAACTTATTGCCTATATAACACGCATTGCCCCAACAAAATTGAGCACGATCTACCGCAAGAACAAGACTTTCTAAGTCCCATCCATCAATGGAAGCTTCCCTCAGCACCCAGAAATAGTTTTCCACCATTGGAAATCATAATTCCACAAACCAGACCGAGTCGTCGGTTACAAGCTGATCTCGCGAATTCAATCACCGACAACATGAAAGAATCTTAAGAATGGAAATTGCGAATCTGGGGCCTCCGAATTGCACAAATTGAAATCATTTCTCGAACTCTAATGCAAGAAGCAAAAAATATATATATATAGAATTCAAAGGTAGAGAGATTGAACCTGTTTGCGAAGGGCGTCCCATGAACTTGGCACCTCCATGGATAGACAAAGATTGGGGCAAAACAAAATAAAAAAGCAAACAATGGGAATTTCTTACTCTAAGAAATTGGGAATTTTGTGTGTTCTTCTGGGTGATGCGATTAGGGAGTCGTTTAGCGACGGATGACAGGCCGCCTGCTCCTCACAGACGGCTATGCACAATTTTGAGATCCAATTAATAATGATAAAGGCTTTGGTAAGAAAAGATTTGTTTTGGTGGGTAACAAATTTACTTTTGCTATTTGTATGAATTGTACTATTATATTATTATTTATAATTTATAATAAAATAATATCTCTATCCTAATTATAAGATATCATTTATAGCTTATAAATAAAATCTTATAATTAGAATTGGATGTGAAGGTAGTATAGAGTAAAGTATGCGCCCTATATTTTTATTTTGTCTTAATTATATAATCCTGATGCATAATTTTTTTTTTTGTTGAAACCTGCTCTTCTTTTAGTTTAATATTTATTAATTAAAATTTATAGTAATAATTTCCCTCTCAATATATTAAAGCCCTTATTTATCTAAATATCTTGACTGTTGCGATAAGTCCTCTAATATGATGAAAATTAAAAATCAAAAGCTGAATTACAATTATTAAAATGCCTTTAAATTATTTTTTTAAAAAAACCATGTCAAATATTGAAAATGAAAGCTTGGTTTGTTTGATTAGTTTATAAAAATATTTTTTAATAATTTATAAAGTACGAGATAAATATATTTAAAAAAAATTTCTCAACTTATGTAAAATTGCTTATAAGCATGTATACAATATGATCTGAAAAAGCCAATAAGAATGTTTAGGTTCATTAAAAGAAGTTATGAGTTGGCTCTCATAACTTACCATGCATAATTGTCTCTAGATTGCAAATAAATAAAAATTCTATAATACTACTACCTTTAGTTCTTGCTGCAAGATTTATTTTGTAATTCAATTACTAAATTTTATATTAAAAACCGGAGGTAGTACGACAAGAACCAAACCATCTCTTAAACACGTAGTTCTTTAAGCTAGGTCATATTCTAAAAATTGTGGGAATTATATTTATAAGAAGCACAAGAGGTTGGATTATTTTTTGAAAGGTGATGGAAGTCATGGAACTCAATTTTTGCACTATAGTACCTTTTAATGGTAGTGGTAGAAAGAAACATGAATAAGCATCCTTTATGAAGGAATTATGGGTTTGCTCATCGATAAAGAAATAACTCAAACAATTATATTACTTAAAATATTGAGATAAAGTAAACAAACAAAAAATCGAATTTAAAGCTCAGCGAAAATGAGTCAATTAAGCATGAACTCTTTATTTTCAACCCAAATCCATGCAAAGAAGAATCATATCAAAGTAACCAAAAACAATGTAATAGGAATGAGTTGCACACACCCACGCAGTCACGCGCCAATCTCTAGTGCCACCATTAATGGCGTGCCCCAAAGATCTGTGAAGAAGTCCTCTGACTTTTTTTTTTTTTTTAATACAATCCTCTCAATAATATTTATAATTTCTTTATAATTATTGTATTTAATAATATTGTTAGCCCATAAGTGGCATTGGGCTGAACCCAGTGGCAAGGGAGATAGCCCAATAAAAGGATGAAAGAAAAGAACAACGAAGCATGGCACTGCTGAAGGGATAAATATACCTAAAAGTATTTCAAATAAGATTACTTCTAATAGAAAAATATTCTATAATTTAGAGAGGAAAAAAAGAGAAATATTTTGTTTGTTTATTCCACGTACACACATTTTGTAAGGATGGGGAAGCCAAATTTGACAGAAATATTAATTTCATGTCATGTTGGAATTAATCTTTTCAATTGCATATTTAACTAGACGCATTATTTTTTTCTCGTATTTTGTTGAATTTAAAAAGTATTATGTTACAATAGATTTTATATTTTATATATAACTGATGATTGGGACAGGCAAAAAAGTATTAAAAAAAAAAAGTTTGTAAAACCAAAGTAGTACAAGGGTAATCTTTCAACAATGGTCTTTCTTTTTATTAGCTTAATATGAATTGCATCCTTACTAATTAGACCAATTTTCATTAGCACAGCTCATCATTCAGTAAGCAAATTGGTTATTTTGTAAGATAATGTTAGGAATCAGACTCTAAACAAGAATGCCCCAACTAGATGAAATCTAGCTTCATTCATTGGTTGATTCATTGATCACAAAAAGAAAAGACAATACAGTATATAGACATGTATCACTCACACCACTCTTTTTTGGCTTAAAACATTACAAGAATCTATCTCCTCACACACATTCCTGCTCAACTAAAATTGTATATATTATATGGGCAGGAACCAAGGATTACAAATTCTCAATGCCCACTTGTTTAGTTGTTTATTATTGGGTGGCATGCATGATGTTGAGAACATGGTCATCTTCTGAAGCTGCCAGGGGCAGAAGTTGTGACCTTGGCCTCTTCTTCTTGTTCATCAGTGAGCTTCACCAGAGTGTAAGTGCCTGCTCCACTGAGAGCTCCAAGAATGGGAGCTATGAGATATACCCAAATGGCTCTGTAGTTATTTGCTGCTATTGCTGGCCCTAGTGTTCTCACTGGGTTCATTGACCCTCCTGTTGCTGGCCTGTATGCGCCACAAGTACACCATTCACTCCATTAATTTATTACTACTATTATTATGCTTTGTTTTTGTACAACCACCGTTAAACTGGTAAAAACAGCGGTTTGAGGGCCAATAGTTCAAATCAGGATTGGGATTAGATGGTTCATAATTAAAATAATATAATTCAACTCAAATATATATTAAAAAAAAGCATATGCAATCCCAAAAAGAATAATATTCGAATGAAAAGATATTTATTCATAAATAAATGAAATATTCATGTATAAATCACATAACCTAACAAAACATAGTTATTAAAGTACAAATTTGACAAACTGTTATTTTTTCAGGAAATTCAAAATGATGTTATTCTAGACTTGCTGGCCTAACTTGTTCAAAATTTTCAATTGGGCCGGCTAGAAATTGGTTTGTCGATTCATTAGTCTAACCGGATAACCTAAGTTAGGTTTTAATATCATGCCAAAATAATGCTTTATGAATTTTGTTCCCCCATACTAGCATAGACACTTGAAGAAAGATGGAGAAACTGTTTTGTATATAAACAGATTTATGCTGTCAAACCTATCGGTTTGATATTATTGAGTCATGGGATTTGGATTTTGTTATATGAAAGAAATCACGTTAAGAAAAGAAAACTACCTTCTTCTTTTTTTGAACAGAAAAGTACCTATATTTATTTTTATTTATTTGATGATACTCAAATCTGAGTCAGTGGTTTGTGTCAGACAGTATAAAGTTATACTTATATAAATTAGACTAATAATTAGATTAATGTTTGGTACATACCCTGCGATAAGGATGTTGAGCATGACCGTGGCTCCCACTGCGATTCCCGCAAGTTCTCCAACCTGGATTCATCCATCATCTCCAAATAATCAATGAACCTCCTCAGATTATATCAGCAAATCTCCACTTCCATTATAATACTATATTTATTACTATTATTATATAAATCCTTCTTTTAATTATTCAATTACAAGTCTACTTCATCGGATCAATCAACCTATGTTCCTTTCTATTCTGGAACTTCTCTATATATATATATATAAAATTATACTTACGGCTCTTGTGTCGGTGGCTACGGCGGTGACGACGAACATGAGGTTGAAACTGATGATGAACTCCAAAGCAAAGGCTTCGCCATATCCTGCAGAAGGAACAGTGACTCCTCCATTCATGAAGGGATGAAATATCCCCTTCAGTGCAAATGCTGCACATATTGACGCCAGTACTTGAGCTCCGATGTACACTGGAACCTGCAAATATATACGTTCACGAATCATACTTGGATTTGTATGAGTAAATAGTTTTCAAGAGTCGAAAGTAAGAGAGAAGAAGAAGAAGAAGAGAAGAGATTTAAGAGCACAAAGTCATTATTATTACATGTTTCCATGGGAAGTGCTTTAGTGCAGCAAAGGAGATAGTGACGGCGGGGTTGAGATGAGCGCCGGAGATGTGGCCGGTGGAGAGGATGACTATCATGACGGCGAGACCAGTGGTGGCGGCGCAGCCGATAAGAGTCTCGGCGCCCTGTGTCTTCTGGTTCACTATAGCAGCGGCTGTCCCAGCAAACATTAGAATCAGAGTGCCTATGAACTCAGCTCCTACCTGTTACAAGGGCCAGTGATGGTTAACAATTTTCTCATCAAAACTTGATCTTTCTCTGTTTTTGAAATCAACCCAACAAAATTAACACATGAAGGAAAAATGGGTCTGTGTTAGATGACAAATTTCCTCATAAAAGTTTGATCTTTTTTCTTTGCCAACTTTCTGTTTAATTCTCTGTTTTTTTGTTTAGCTTTGATGTACCTTTCTTGCAAGAGGGACAGGAGGGGGTGGCAATGAACAAGAGACTGTGGGCAAAGCTCCTTCTTCTACATTCCATTCTTCAACATTGAAACACTTACATTTGTTAAGAAGTGATTTCTTCCTTACATAGCCATTCCCATTACTTCTCTCAGACTTGAAACCTCCAAAAAGAGGCCCACCAGGAGTCCCTGGTGTTGTAGGTGCTGAAGGAATCTCCTCATTATCCATCTCTCCAAACACCACACAACACCCACAGAGAGAGAGAGAGAGAGAGAGATGGCTTGGAGGATTTGGTTTCTAATTGTTTGTCTCTGTGGAATGAGAATGCTCTTGAAGGGCATGGTATATATAGTGGAGAGTGTGGTTGACTTGTGGAACCACAATTAATGGGAAGAGAGAGAGAAACCAAACTAGTGGTTCAGAGTTGAAAGGAGAAAAGAAAAATGGCCGCCGCTTTGGGAGTGGACAGTGGGCATTGCAAGGAGCCATGAATGTGGAATTTTGAGAAAGAGGCTTTTAAACATTGCTCATCAATCATGCTTCTTTATTTCTACCATCCCCTGCATTTATGCTTCAAATTCTCATCTGCAGCTTCTAATCTACATTTCTTACCTTTACAAAAGTGTGTCTTGTGTGTGTATATAAAGTATTCCTCCTATATTTTTCCAAAGGTAGGTGGTAAATAACTAATTTATAGATATATTAAAGATAATTTAAATGAAAACTACCCCTATTAATAAAAAAAAAATTTACATGTGCAATCAATAAAGATAGTCTAAAAAAATTATAAATTTAAAAGATAAAATAAATTAATATAGTCTTACATTTAGGATTGAAGACAGTATATTTGGAAAAAAATTAAAAAAAAAATAATACTAACAATAAATAGAAGGATCCCTGCGCCTATTAAAAAAAAAAAATCTTACAACTATCAGGTCACGTGGGGTGGAGGATCAAATTAATATGGCAGCGATAAGTAGATCAAGGACTTGATATTTCCTATATACATTTTAGATTAAAACTTACAAAAAAAAAAAATATTGTGAGGAGAATCATTCGTT